AATAGTAGCTAAAATTGCATTGGTTGATCTTCTGTACATGCTTTGCCCAACACTATTGTCTCATTTTTAACCAATTATAATGCATTCTTAATTTAAAGAACCATCTTTTGGCAATGGCAGTGTTTCCATTCACTTTGTTGGAATGGAGACCCAGGAAAATGGCCAGTAAATCAAAGAAGCTGGAAATATGTGACCTTAAATACGGTGCTCGAGAGGATTTACTACATGGGAGGACTGTCCCAGTACAGGCCTCCTCAGCCCTGGCCTGTGATCACAGCAGATTCTTGCCTGTGCATATTGGGGTGTTTCTGGAATTGATGAAATGTGTTTCCTAACTTTTAAAGTAACTAAAAAATCCAAGTAAATAACAGAAATCACAACAGACACCAAAGCAAGCAGTTATTGGTTAAGGGAAAAATGACTGGGAAATGAGCCAGTGGAGTTGTGAAACATAAAACTTTTGATATACTGGCATTTTAACTATGAAGATAGGGTTTTGAAAGCAACTGCAACAGAAAATTTCCCAAACTAACTAACTTTAAAATAACATAAATCTCACATATTTTTGGTTACATTTAAATAAGAGAAGTGCCCTGAAATTGATTAGAGATGCATAATTTTCCCCCTTCCCATTTTCCAATACCAATATCAATGTGAGACACTCACCAGTTTTAACTATAAAGATAAATTATGATAGTAATTTTGTTTTTGAGGCATTTCATCCAAAGCTCATATCAACAACTATTGGTTATGCACTGATTATTATTATAAAGCACCCCAAAATTAGTCTTTATAATCAAGTAACAGTAAAACATTATTTACCACGTCAGGCTCACTTCTAAGTGCTTAACATGCATTGTGAACTTTATCATTAAATACAACAACCATTAAGATTAATGATCTGATAATTTAATCCGTATTTTTTCAGATGATAAAAAGGAGGCAGAGCAAGATTAAATAACTTGCCCAAGGTTACCCAGTTAACAAGAGAAAGAGCCAGGATTTGAAGCCGAACTGGACACCAGAGCCTAGGCTGCCACCACCACCAATTTCTACTTCTCTCTGAAATAACACGCTAAGCAATGACAGTATGGACATCTGTAATATTGATTACATTATTAACTTCATTTATTACACAAAGCACTGTGGGTGGTTCTGCAGACAATAAACAATGTAAAAATGTCCATAACTGTTTACCCCCTTAAGTAGCTTCAAATCTAATGGGTGTTAAGAATAACATAAATAGCTTTGATATAAGACATAATAGGTACCACATGTATTTTTTTTAAGTTTTTATTTTATATTTTTATTCAGATATATTTGACATATAACATATTAGTTTCAGGTGTACAACACAATGCTTCAATATTTGTATATATTGCAAAATGATCACAATAGGTCTAGTTAACATCTGTTACCGTACATCGTTAACAAAAACTTTTTCTTGTGATGAGAGATTTTAAGATTTACGCTCTTAGCAACTTTCAAATATGCAATACAGTATTATTAACTATAGTTACCACGCTGTACATTACATCCCTATGACTTATTTTATATCTTGAAGTTTGTACCTTTTGACCACGTTCAGCCATTTCATCTTCCACCCCCAACCTCGGGCAACCACCAACCTTTTATCTATGAGTTTTTTTTTTTTAGATTTACATATAAGTGAGATCATACAGTATTTGTCTGTCTGACTTATTTCATTTAACATAAGCCCTCAAGGTCTATCCATGTTGCCACAAACGGCAAGATTTTCTTCTTTTTATGGCTGAATAATAGTCTATCGTATATATATATATACCACATTCTTTATCCATCCATCCATCCAAGGATACTTAGCTTGTTTCCACATCTTAGCTATTGTAAATAATGCTATAATGAACATGGGGCTGCATATATCTTTTTGAATTAGTGTTTTTGCTTTCTTCAAATAAATACCCAGAAGTGGAATTGCTAGATCATATGGTAGCTTTTTAATTTTTTTTGCAGAATCTCCATACTGTTTTCCATCGTGGCTGCAACCATTTACATGCCCACCAACACTTCACAAAGGTTCCCTTTTCTTCACATCCTCACTCTGACAGGTGTAAGAAGATAGCTTATTGTGGTTTTCATTTGCATTTCCCTGATGATTAGTGACGTTAAACATCTTTTCAGAGACCTGTTGGCCATCTGTATATCTTCGTCGGAAAAATGTCTGTTCAGATCCTCTGTCCATTTTTTAACGGGGTTGTGTTGGTTTTTTTGCTATTGAGTTGCATGAGTTCTTTATATACTTTGGATATTAACCCTTTATCAGACATATGGTTTGCAAATATTCTCTACCATTCTATAGGGTGCCTTTTCAGTTTGTTGATGGCTTCCTTTGCTCTGCAGAAGAAGCTTTTTAGGTTGATGTAGTCCGATTTGTTTTTGCTTTTGTTGCCTTTGTTTTTCATGTCAAATCCAACAAATTGTCGTCAAGACTACTGTCCAGTTGCTTACTGCCTATGTTTTTCTTCTAGGAGTTTTATGGTTTCAGGTCTTACGTTCAAGTCTTTAATCCATTTAATTTTTGTGTATGGTGTAAGAGAGTGGTTCAGTTTCATTCTTTTGCATGTGGCTGTCCAGTTTTCCAAACACCATTTATTGAAGAGACTGTCCTTTCCCCATTCTTTATTCTTGGCTCCTTTTTTGTAAATTAATTGACCGTATATGTATGGGTTTATTTCTGGGCTCTGCATTCTGTTTCATTCACCTATGTGTCTTGTTTTTATGCCAATACCATACTGTTTTGATTACTGTAGCTTTGTAATATAGTTTGAAATCAGGGAGTGTGATACCTCCAGTTTTGTTCTATCTTATGTATTTTTAATCTAAAAAACTATTATGGTTCAGATAAACTGAGAAAGTGAGAGTGGGGGTAGTTAAAAAGACTACTTTTACATTTTATGGCAATAAGATAGCATTTTTTGGAGTTCTCTGACCAAGTCAGAAGTCATAGGTTTGAAACCATGATCTGATCTTGCTCAAGTTAACTAACCTCTCTGAGCCTTTTTTGATCTATCTCACAGTTACTGTTTGTTAGCATTCAGTAAGAACATATGCATTTACATCAGGACTTTTTCAGTAAGAGATTGAACCTGAATGAACTAGATCAAGCATAAAAGGAGTTTTATAGAAGGGTACTGAAATGAACAAAGGAAATCTTAGAAACCAGAACAGCTTTAGGAACCTTAGAAATGGAAACTGGGACTATGATTGGTTCAGTTTGGGTCACTTGCCCAGTGATGGGGGACTAGGACTGGTCAGGCCTGAGCCTATGGCCAGGGAGGTGTGAACTGTGATTGGCAGCCCTACCAGAACCATGTAGTTCCCAAAGCACAGACTGAAGAACAGAAGCCAGTTGAATCTAAAAAATATACCACAAACAAAAGTGCTAATGAATAAAAATAATAACATTAGCAGACATGAATGAACACTTCCCATGTTCTGGGCATTGTTTTAAGTATATCTCAGATGCTATGTAGTACAATGTTCAGAGGAAAACCCAGGCTATGCACAAAGCACTATTAGGATGCAGTGTGGGAGAGGAGTGGGGACGTAGTGAAGTGGGCCCAGATGATGAAGAGCCCTGATGGGACGCTAAGTTAGACTTGATTTTATTGACAAGTCAGAGCCAGTGCAGGTCAACACACAGAATATAACACAGCCACAGTTCTACATTAGAATAACTAACTAACTTGGATTAGAGAAAGGAGAAATGGGAGGTGAGGAATTTAATTAATAAGCCATTTCAAGTGGAAGTTAAGCAAAGATCTGAATTCAGTAGGTGGTAGTGGGAATAGAAAGAAAAAAATAAAACAAAAACACATGTGAGGCATTGGAAAAGTGGAATTGTGAGCAAATGGTGGCTTATTAGAGATGGAGATGAGGGCTAAGAAGGGTTCCAAATGGCTAAAAAGTTCCACACTGAGAATTAAATGACAGTACTGAGCAGCTATGATGGCCAAGTTGGGGGGGTGGGAACTGGTTTAGAGGGAGAATATGATGAACCTGATTTTGGTCAGACTGAGTGGGGGCAGGCAATAAATTCTCAGAAAGGGATACCAAGGAGGCAATTCCAAATGTGGCAACATGTCTCATGAGAAAAGTTGGAGCAGGAAAAACTCAAGCTTCTGGAGTAGATGAAATTGCAAAAAGATCACATAGATAAAGAAGAAATGAGCATACTAAAGACTGATACTTAAATCCTAATGCAAAATGTGGTTAGCCAACAGGTTTGTAAAATTTTAAAAATTTAAATTTATTAGGATTTATTAGTAACACAATTACACAGAATAAAGTTCAGGAATTCATCAATGGTCACCAATATGTGCTTCTTTGTGGCTTTTTAAACTGTATTTCTCATGATTCAAATTTATTCATAGTATAGTTGAATTTCACACATAGCTTCACAATATGGATATTACAGGTCTTCCATCAGTAAAATTAATGAAAACATATCTTTCATGAAAGGCACATAAAGAATCTAAACTAACACATTTAAGCAATTTTAATAACTTTGAATTTCTTTACATTACAAAGAAGAAAAATCCACAAAATGAAACAAATATAAACGTGGTTTGTGGTTACCCAGAGACACATACACACACGTCAACAAATATATTTCAGAACGACAGCACAGGACTAAACTCAGAAACTACTTACCCACAAAGCTTACTCAAAGACTTTTTCAAGATGAGTATAAAAAAGAGAAGTAGGGTAGGGAATGCTGTTCATTTTGCTGAAACAAGGTCACAGGGGATACATTATGAATAATCAAAAGAAAAATGACTGTATCAAAGTTCACTATCTAGCCAATATGTAACACTTACGTGAGCATACATACAATCACTGACTTTATCAAGTACTATTACTCATTTCCTAAGTGTAATTGCCGATTTCATTCTCAGATAATAGCACAATTTAAAAAGAAATAATATAAACTCAAGCAAATGGAGGAAATTTGAAAAATCTAAGGGAAAAAAGTAATTTTAACACAGGGTGATAATTAAATTTGAAACTAGTTACATATATGAATTTAAAACTTGTATCATATCAGCAGCAGACTATTCAAAGATCTTTCTTGTTATCTTCCAAACATGGAGCTATCGTGTATGATCAGTACAAGGATTTCCCAAAGGAAATACACAAATAAATGTCTCCAAATTCATTATGCTGACTTATTTTACCCACAAAAATGCTCTCAAGTCCACCTAAACTTAGTTATAAATAAAAACGTAGTTATTTAAAGTGTATAAAAATTAATCTGGCATCACCTTTAAGGCAATGCATGGATACCATCCAAATATTAAAATTCAAAGTGAAAACAAACCAACTGAATAAAAATTAAGTGTTTATAATAAGTCTAAGATAGTATATCCTCTAAAATCTGAAATTTTAGGTTTTCAAACCAAATCTAATGTAGAATCAGATCAGCATGCACTCGCAAAAGAAAAATCAAAATGCATATAATGTTTAAATAACTGATCCAAAGCCAGATATATTTATCCTCTTTAAGAACGTTTCAATAAAACACATTAAATTTAAAGAACAAATCATGTTATTAAAATAGTCTGTGCAATGTTTGTACAAATAACATTTTTATGATTACAAGTATACATATAACCAAGATAAGGGGTGCACCATTTCCTAATATTAATTACTGTACTTAAAAATTTATAGGATACGAACATAAATAAAGCTGTTAAAACTGGCAAACATAGTAATAGTCTGTCATTCAGTACAAAGTACTTAATATTTCTGTCATTCCAAAGCCATCGCACTAAAATTCTAAGTTGCCACTCTTAAAACCTAAAAGTAACGTGAAAAAGTAAAGTAATTAGTCCATGTGTACATAGGTTTGCATATTTACACTTACGCAGAAATCATCCGTACGCTAGAGCCCAGTGTTAACACGGCCCTTAGGTCACACCAGGACCACCTTTCACATTTAAGGAAAGTCCTTCTGTTACTTTCAGTTAAAAAAACAAAACAACTTTGGTCAGGTCCCAGATGTGTCTGCCATATACTACATTCTGTGTTGCTGCAAGACTCTAGCCTAGAGAGATCCACATATAAGTACTCATTTGGTTTCAAAATGCATTTCACCAGTAACTGCAAAACTTAGAAGAGACCACAATCTTTTAGATTATTTTTTATGATGACATCTGTTACGGCATCAAAAACGAACTGCACATTCTTCGTATCTGTGGCACAAGTGAAGTGGGTGTATATTTCCTTTGTGTCCTTTCTTTTATTGAGGTCTTCAAACTGACACTGAATATATGCGGCTGCCTCTTCATACGTGTTTGAGCCTGAGATGGGAAAAGGAAAGAAACATATGGTGAAAAGTTAAAATGAGTATACAGCTAAGCAAAATGGACCCTAAAATATTGAAATCAGTTTCACACATACAAAATATGTGGACTCCATAAGTGTATTTTCCCTTCTAGAATGAGAGAAACTCTTCTAAATGAAAAATACCCATGTTAATTACCTTTTAATGACTATAAGTTACCCTTAAAAAAAACCCCAAACCCCAAAACATGGTATTCCATGTTCCCCATGATCTTTGTTCCTGCTTCAATCTCCAAATGCCAGAGCCCCCTTTTCTTCTTATCCTTTATACTCTACATCCTGACACCAAACCCTGCAGCCCCTGATAGTGGCATGCTACTTCAGCTCCAGCCTAAGGGCTGATCAAGAAAAACTGGCTAAATGCCCATCAGTATTTTTCATTCCCTTTCCTATACACACATTAATTAGCATTTCTCACTCATTTTTCTTCATTCAAAAATTGTACAAGAGTCTACAATGTGGTTCATGGCTATGAAGCTATAAAAAAGTGAATAACACGGTCCTGCTTTGAGGTGACTAAAGACTTCTGAGTACAAACACTCTGGGAATGGTTTGGCAGGATCTAAAAATAATCACACACCTACTCTGTTACCCAGCAATTCAGTTTCTAGGTGTGCCCCTGACAGAATTATACACAGGCATTCCTCAGAGATATCGTGGGTTCGGTTCCAGACCACTGCAATAAAGCAAATATCGCAATAAAGTGAATATCGCAATAAAGCGAGTCACAGGAATTTTTGGTTCCCAGTGCATGTAAGTTATGTTTATACTTTACTATCGTCTATTAAGTGTGCAATAGCATTATGTCTAAAAAAACAATGTACACACCTTAATTAAAATATACTAGGGGCTGGCCTGGTGGCGCAGTGGTTAAGTTCGCATGCTCCACTTCAGCAGCCTGGGGTTCACCAGTTTGGATCCTGGGCATGGACCTACACACTGCTCATCAAGCCATGCTGAGGCAGCGTCCCACAAAGACCAACTAGAAGGATGTACAACTATGACACCCAACTATCTACTGGGGCTTTGGGGAGAAAAAAGGAAAAAAGGAGGAAGACTGGCAACAGATGTTACCTCAGGGCCAATCTTACTCCAAAAAAAAAAGAAAGAAAAAAAAAAACTTTTGCCAGAAAATGCTAACCATTATCTCAGCCTTCAATGAGTCATAATCTTTTTGCTGGTGAAGGGTCTTGCAAAAAATGCAGTATCTGCGAAGTGCAATCAAGTGAAGTGCAATAAAACGAGGTGTGTTTGTACGTATGTTCACCAGAAGACATTTAAGGACTGTTAATAACAGAACTAATTTCTACTTTAGGAGGCAAAAGTTCATTAACTGTAGACTGGCTAATAAATTCTGGTATAGTCATGCAATGAGCTGCCACAGAGCAATGAGAAGTGAGAATAAAAGTTCTACTGCTACACACAATAACATGGATGAGTTACATAAAAATAAATCCTGACACAAAGAGTGTATACTGTAAGAGTGTATACTGTATGATTCGACTGATGTTTGGAAAACAACCAAAATTAATCAATGAGGACAAAAGTCACAATAATGGTTTCTCTGTGTGTGTGTGTGTGTGTGTGTGTGTGTGTGTGTGTGTGTGTGTGTGTGTAGGGGGTCTGATCAGGTAAGACTGGCAGGGGCATGATGGGGCTTCTGGGGACCTGGATTTTATTTCTTGACCTGAGTGATGGACATATCTCTATGTTCACTTCTTAAAATTCAATGAGCTTCACATTTGTGCTCAGTGTGTGTACGTATATATTTTACATATGTACAAATATAATACTTCAATAAAATATTCATTTGAAAAAACTGTTCAATCTCTCTTTTGCAGTAATAACACAGAATTATCTGCCTGGCTTTCAAGGTCCTGTGTTACCCAGCCTGCTTGGCAAAGCCATTCTGCAATTTCTATTCCACATCTGAGGCTGACGCCATGTCAGGAGGCCCCAATATGCAAACGGTCACCCTGTGATGGCAGTGCTTCCCTCCTCTGCACTTCACCAGGTGTTTCCAAGTCCTGGCCCCTGTAAATAACGCTGCAATGAACATGGAGGTGCAGATACCTTTTCAAGTAGGTAGTTTTGTTTTCTTAAGATAAATACCCAGAAGTGGAATTGCTGGATCATATGGTAGTTCTATTTCTAATTTTTTGAGGACCCTCCATACTGTTTTCCATAGTGGCTGCACCAACTTACATTCCCGCCAACAGAGTACAAGGGTCTCCTTTTCTCTACATCCTTGCCAACACTTGTTATTTCTTGTCTTTTTGATAGTAGCTATTCTGACAGGCGTGAGGTGACATCTTGTTGTAGTTTTGATTTGCATTTCCCTGATGATTAGTGATATTGAGCATCTTTTTCTAGATCTGTTAGTCATCTGTCTGTATGCTTTGGAAAAATGTCTAATCAGATCCTCTGTCCCTTTTTTAAAATCAGACTGCGTTTTTTTGCTACTGAGTTATATGAGTTCTTTATATATTTTAGATATTAACCCTTTATCAGATATATGGTTGGCAAATATTTTCTCCTTTTCCATAGGTTGCCTTTTCATTTTGTTGATGGTTTCCTTTGCTGTGCAGAAGCTTTTTAATTTGATATACTCCCACTTGTTTATTTTTGCTCCTGATGCCTTTGCCTTTAAGATGTCAAATCCAAAAAATCATCATCAAGACTGATGTCAAGGAGCTTACCACCTATGTTTCCTTCTAGGAGTTTTATGCTTTCAGTTCTTACATTCAAGTCTTTAATCCATTTTAAGTTAATTTTTGTGTACGCTGTAAGAAAGTGGTCCAGTTTCACTCTTTTGCATGTGGCTCTTCAGTTTTCCCAGCACCATCTATCGAAGAGACTAGCCTTTCCCCATTGTATATTCTTGGCTCCTTTGTCATAAACTAATTGACCAGATGAGCATAGGTTTATTTATGGGCTCTCATTCTTTTGCATTCATCTCTGTGTCTGTTTTTTATGCCAATACCATACTGTTTTGATTATTTGAGTTTTGTAATATAGTTTGAAATCAGGGAGCATGACGTCTCCAGCTTTGTTCTTGCTCAAGATTGCTTTTGCTATTTGGTATCTTTGTGGTTCTGTACAAATTTTAGGATTGTTTATTCTATTTCTGTGAAAAATGCCATTGAAATTTTGATAAGGATTGTACTGAATCTGTAGATTTCTTTGGGTAGTATGGACATTTTAACAATATTCTTCCAATCCAAAAGCATGTAATATCTTTCCATTTATTTGTCTCTTCAATTTCTTTCATCAATGTCTTATAGTTTTCAGAGTACAGGTCTTTCACCTCCTTGGTTAAATTTGTTCCTAGATATTTTGTTCTTTTTGATGCAATTTTAAGTGGGATGATTTTCTTAATTTCTCCTTCTGATAGTTTATTACCAGTGTATAGAAATGCAACAGAGTTTTGAATATTGGTTCTGTATCCTGCAACTTGACTGAATTCGTTGATTAAACAGTTTTTTGGTGGAATCTTTAGGGTTTTCTATATATAAATATCAGTCATCTGCAAATAGTGACAGTTTCACTTCTTCCTTTCCAATCTGCATGCCTTTCATTTCTTTTTCTTGCCTGACTGCTCTAGGTAGGACTTCCAATACTATGTTGAATGAAAGTGGTGAGAGTGAGCATCCTTGTCAAGTTCCTGACCTTAGAGGAAAAGCTTTCAGCTTCTCACCACTGAGTATCATGTCAGCTGTGAGCTTGTCATATATGGCCTTTATTACGTTGAGGTACTTTCCCTTTATACCCACTTTGTTCAGAGTTTTTATCATAAATGTATTCTGAATTTTGTCATGCTTTTTCTGCATCTACTGAGATGATCATATGATTTTTATTCTCCATTTTGTTATGGTGTTGTATCACACTGACTGATTTGCAGATGTCAAACCATCCTTGCATCCCTAGAATAAATCCCACTTGATCATGGTGTATGATCCTTTTATTGTGTTGTTGAATTCTGTTTGCTAATAGTTTGTTGAGGATTTTTGCATTTATGTTCACCAGAGATACTGGCTGTACTTTTCTTGTGGTGGCCTCGTCTGGTTTTGGTATCAGGGTAATGCTGGCCCTGTAAAATGAGTCTGGAAGTGTTCTCTCCTCTTCTATTTTTTGGAAGAGTTTGAGAAGGACTGGTGTTAATTCTTCTGTAAATGTTTGGTAGAATTCACCAGTGAAGCCATCTGGTCCTGGACTTCTGTTTATTTAAAGGTTTTTGATTAGTGATTCAATCTCTTTACTAGTAATCGGTTTGTTCAGATTTTCTATTTCTGCATGACTTCGCAGTCTAGGTAGGTGGGTTGTCAAAATAAGTTTACATTTTAACTCTTATTTTTTACAAATCAAATTTTAGTTTATTTTATTAAATCATAAGGTTGATTCTCTGAAATTCTAAAGCAATAAATAGTATCTTGTTGACTCACAGAAGCTTATGCAACCTCTAAATTAAAAATATGTTTTGGGAAAAGAGCTTGCATTAAGTGCATAGCTCATTGCAGTCTATATTCTGGGTAGCTAGTTAGATTACTGAATCCCAAGAGCTACAAGACACATGAATGAACTAATGAGCACATTCCTCAATATGATTTTAAATCTTAAGAAAAGAATGGCAAGGAATTGGGGGGAGGAATTGGATAGATCTTTTCTAATGTGACAGAACTGTCCTGAATAAAGGTAAATATGGATGATAACCTGGTTCAAGAATGGAGAATTGGGAGGTTGGTGATATAATTCAAAGGGAGATATAAGAGATTTGAGAAAAAAAATAACATGAGTTCAGTTGAGTTTCAGGTGCTAAAAAACATGTACATGTTCAACAAGCAGTTGGAAATGCAAGCCTGAGCCTCTAGAGAGAAATCAGAGTTGACAACAGAATTTAACACAGTGAGAATAAATATGACTATGAAAGGACAGAGTGCTAAAAGATTACAGGACTGCAGATGGAATGTGGTGAAATGCCAGATAAAAAGAAAAGAAGAAGACAAGAGCAGACAGAGGTAGGAGATAAACCAAGTGAGGAGTCTGGAGGCCACGTAGGGTTCTTCTACAGAAAGCAACAGCCACAGGAATTAACAGTTGAGGTTGCAGCAAGAGGCAACTGAATCAAAACTTGCGGCATGGAAGATTTTCAATTACAATTTTAACACTGGGAATGTGAAAGAACTACATAATACTCTCTTAGTTCGAAGATTCTGAGATTGGAGATTCTTACTAACTTGACAAAATAAGAAAAATCCTTGAACACATTGTATACCTGGCAAAGAAAAAGCTAAAAAGTATATTCTTGGTCGCCCTGAAATCCCTATAGATACGTGATATTTATGGATTCATTTGGGTACTCTGTACAAAATGTACAAAAGTACAGAATGGCTACTTCATAGGAAATGACCAAAATGAACTGAAAGACAGATGAAAGTAAGAGCAAAACTGACCCACTTTGATTCTGCAATTAGAAATAATTTTATTCCTAATAAGCACTAAAAATGTTTCTGAATAAGGTGACTTAAGATACTACGACTTTCAAACAGAAAACAAAAGTTTTAAAATAAGCAACTGTGTGAAATTATTTTGAAGTGAAGTATAACTTTGCAGTACACAAAAAGGGCTCCGTAATCATGAGCAGTGTGATGATATTTATGCAAGAACCTCCCCCTTTGGTTCCACTGAGAATTTAATTACACGCAGTCTGGTTGGTAATGGTCTGGGTCAGGAGCGCCACAGACCTGGGTCTGGATTGGACTCTGTTGTTTCACGAAGCGCCAGTGCTCTCCCCTGTAGGAGCAGCAGACGAGAGCACTCTATCACAGGGTTGTTTTAACATCGCCTGTGAAAGGCAGTAAATTCGCATTGTACAACTTAATACAAGACCGACTGAAATTTTGTGTATAATGAAACAAATTCTTGAGACTTCTTCTTTTTAAACAGGAAGGATGGAGTGAGGGTAAATAACCTCTATCAATTAGCTAAATTAACCAAAGTTCAGAATATTTAGGTTTAGAGATCATATAAACCAGTGGTAGTCAAAATCTTTTTTGGAGGAGCACAGAATTCTCGTCATTAAAATAAAATCTTATTCAGAAACCCAATAAATAAAAAGTGAAAGCTAAATTCCTCTGCTTTAGTGAGAGAAGCTGTACGTTTGGGGGAGGGCATGAGCACTTCTGTTCCCTGCACCCACTTCCCATAGCAGCCCAGGAGGTGTTCCAAGGAACTAAACTCTACTATAACCAATGTTTTAGTCCACTTTCTGATTTTACAGATGGGGTACAGACCCAGGTAAATTAACTGCCCTGTTCCAGAGCAAAGAGCTAATCAAGGAAAAGCCAGGACTGTATCTCAGGTCTCTTTTTCTCACTGGGGGCCATTTTCCACAGTAGTAAAATTAAAGGGCCATTAACAGGCTCATTACTAAAGTTTAGATTTCTTGTGAAACCCTCCCTGACTCCCCCGAGGAGTCAGTGAACTCATGGATGCCTTCTTCATCTCCTCCCCTCAAGATTACTCTCCGTCTTCCTTTGTAGGAGCGTGTTGTGTTGCTGTTTTTATTTGTTTGTTTATGAGTCTGTCTACCTCTAAGATGAGACAGTGAGAAGAGACACGTGTCATTCACTGTGTGTCACACAATACCTGACACAGATCTATAAACTGGATGGACAAACCAATATTTTAAATTTAGGAAAATTTGGAGCCATCATAGAAAATTACCTAACAGCTTTTCCATAAAATGAATATGTTATTTTCAGTAATCTTATCCACACCCCAAAGAACTACCTGTGCTTGAATGCAGTTTGATAAGTAACTTCTCTTAAAGGGAAGATTTACTAAACCAAGAAATTCAAACCAACAACTGAACTCTTGCCTTAGGGGAATTTGCATTTAGAAATAGATGACTTGACAGGCTAGCCACAAAATAAAATACCTGCATATTCCGGGTAGCATATGGTGAGAGGGCTCTTTTTGATTTTTTCTTCGAAGAGATCCTTCTTGTTTAGAAAAAGTATAATAGATGTGTCTGTAAACCATTTGTTGTTACATATGCTGTCAAACAACTTCATGCTTTCATGCATTCGATTCTGTAACAGAGAAGAATGCAACCAGTCTGTCATCATGGCAAGGATTTTAAGAAATATTACTTTTAAAAAATAACACGTGTTGGGGCCGGCCCCATGGCTTAGCGGTTAAGTGCTCGCACTCTGCTACTGGCGGCCCGGGTTGGGATCCGGGGCGCGCACCGACGCACCGCTTCTCCGGCCATGCTGAGGCCGTGTCCCACATACAGCAACTAGAAGGATGTGCAGCTACGACATACAACTATCTACTGGGGCACTGGGGAGAAAAAAAAAGGAGGAGGATTGGCAGTAGATGTTAGCTCAGAGCTGGTCTTCCTCAGCAAAAAGAGGAGGATTAGCATGGATGTTAGCTCAGGGCTGATCTTCCTCACACACTCAAAAAAATAACACGTGTTGTAACAAAATAGGGCTTAGTCAGCTGAAAAATAGATAACATGCCACAAAAATACATTTCTGCCATTTAAGAACAAGCACACTCTGATTTTAGGCGAGGTGAGTGTCTACATCACTCATCACTCTGCAGTCAACCAGCACTCGCTGAGCGCCCACCATGGTCACGGCACCTGGAACATCCTGATGCAGGCCCCTGCAGTCCAGGGGTGCCACGTGCGAACACCTGACAAGAGATCTCATCATTACAGAGTTAATTGAAGTTTCCCTTAAAAGCTGAGTAGAGGTTTTTAAAGATTAATAAATTAAACAGAACAAGTTGAAACACAATTAGCCCAACACCCTATATATAATGGTGTATTAGGGAAGGAAACCTCCAGTTTCTGTTTCCTGCCCTTCCAGGATCTGTGGTTTCCAGAAGGGCACTCACATTTTATAGTGAAAATGAGAGAACCGGACGCATGGTGGTGCACTGTGCCTACTGCACTATAACTGCACGTACCTGATTTTAAAAATATAAAACCGACATTTGTATCTCTTTTTTTCCTCCAGTCTGTACTAAAGTTAATTTAAAATGATAGAGCTTTAAATTTCTATTTAAAAATATTTCCCCCAGATTAATGGGACACTGAAACACATATGAAAATTACATGGCAGTAGCAAAGTGTAACATGGATCAAAGATGACTGAGTAATCTTTGCAGAAGTAACAAGTTAAGAAAAAATGAGCCTTGGGCTATTACAGACCTAACTTTATTTCCATTCAGTATGTAGATACCAGATACAGGAAATGCAGAGTTCAACACATAGAGTTGAGGTAAGATTAACTCTTAGTCTTTTCCTTGTCCTCAGGATCCATCTGTGCTTCTTTAGGATACTTCTCTTTTAGTATACCAACAGAGGAGTTAGAGAAATGAGCCTGAACTTTCAACTAATTTAGACATTTGCAAAAATGTCTCAAGAATTTTTCTCAGAAAAATTCTTGGCAACATCTCCAGCTCTTCAGATTTCACGCTCAATCTTTAAAAGTGGTTCTACTTGCCATTTCTTCATCTTCAGCCAGAACCAGGTCATAGTCACTCAGGGCCACACAGAAGATGATGGCAGTCACTCCTTCGAAGCAATGAATCCATTTTTTCCGCTCAGATCTCTGTCCTCCCACATCAAACATTCTGTAAGAGGAAAAATAATGAGTCTGACATCACATTAAATGTTCAAAAGCTCTGAGGAGATCTATAACATCAACAAAAAAGCTCCAAACTGCAAGAGGAATGTGGGATGGGAAGGAAGGACTTGATGGGAAGAAAATTTTAGTTAAAGGGCAGGGGTATTTCAAAACCAAACCAAACTAAAATATCCTCAAAAAACCAATACATTCACTAACAGATGAGAACACTTAGAACAGAACATGAAAACAAACAGAAATCAATGGACTGTACCATGTAAGCACTGAGGAGTCACATGAAGCAATTCGGGGAGGCAGAGATAACACAGTGTATTCAATTTGCCAAAGTCACGGCACGGCAGAGGCAGAGGACACAGTCCCCACTTCCCACTACGAAATGCCATTTTCTCTCAGAGGCAACAAGCAGGACTTTCATGTAAAGGAGAAACTATTCCAGGTAAGAAAAAGCTGAGCAAGCAAGTCAGACTCAGACAGGGGCAAACAGGTTGCCTAAATTAAAAAGTAAAACCATGGTATGGAAAAAAAATGAGATGAAATTTGAGATAAATGAGTGGCCCTACTGAATGGCCCTATTGAATAGTCTTAAAATTAAGAGTGAAAAACTCAATTTTTACATAATATCTAATAGTAGACCATCGTAGGTTAGTGTACAGGGTAGTAACAGAATTATTAAACAGCATAAACACAATGATCTTTTCCTTTTTCTTATAAGAGTTTAAGTTAAGCAAAAGTTGAACATACACATCATGTTATGCAACCTAGAAATAACCACTTACATAATGGAAACACTATGCAAACTGGTACATTTTTAAAGGCTCCATTTATCTAGATGGTGCACTAATTAAATAGTCCCTATTTAATCCTCAGGCAAAAAGAATTTTCCCTGCAGGGTAGTAATGGCCTATAAACCAATTCTGAGTACATCAACTAGTATTGTTACTTCTGTCATCATTTTAGTGGCTTTCATTCTATTGGTTTAGCTAGTAAATTGTTCATTAAATTTAAGTATGCTATATAACAAAATGATTCTACCACACAATAAGTTAAAATGGGTAAGATACAAAAAGGATAGCTGGTGATAAAGACCAAACAAAAAGAAAAGAAAATGATCACCCATTTGTTAATTTGCCAAGGAACACAATTTGAAAATAATTTTACCAAAAAGATAATATACTTTAAATACTCTGATCAAATGTCACATATTTCCCTACCACTCAATAGACAATAACAACCAAACCCACCTCAGCACACGTTTTTCCTCTGTGCTGGTTGGTTGTATGTTCGATTTGGCTGGGCTATCGTACACAGTTATTTAATCAGACACGAATCTAGGTGCTGCTGTGAAGGTATTTTATAGTCGTCATTAACATCTATAATTAGTTGACTTTCAGTAAAGGAGATTATCTTCGATAACGTGGGCAGATCTCACCCAATCAACTGAAAGGCCTTAAGAGCAAAAATTGAGGTTTCCGAAAGGAAAAAGAAATCCTGCCTCAAGACCTCGAGCATCCGTTTCTGTCCGAGCCTCTGTCCTGCCCTATAGACTTCGGACTTGCCAGCCCGTGCATGTAAGCCAACTCCTTGAAATAAACAGAACTTACTGGTTCTGTTTCCCTGGAGAACCTTAACTGATACAAATTTTAGTACCCAGAGTGGGATGAGGCTATAACATATACCTAAAAATGTGGAAGTGGCTTTGGAATTGGGTAATACACAGAGGCTGGAAGAATCTTGAGTTACTTGACAGAAAAAGCCCAGACTTTCTTGAAAAGATGGCTGGTTAGAAATATGGCCATTAAAGGTGATTCTGGTGAGACTTAGATGGAAGTGAAGAGGACGGTAGAAAGGCTTCTATCTCAGAGAACATACACGTCATCGTGAACACAGTGTTGGGAAATATATGAATGCTAAAAATGTTTTTGATGAGGTCTGAGAAGGAAATGAGAAACATGTTATTGGACACTGGAGAAAAGGCAACCCTTGTTCTAAAGTGGCTAAAACTGCTGGACTGTGTTCTAGTGTTGGGTATAAGGTAGGACTCAAAAGAGATGAACCTGGATATTTAGCTGAGGATGTTTCCAAGCCAACTGTGCAAAGCATGGCCTTGTTTCTCCCTTCCGCTACAGTAAAAAGCAAGAGCAAAGAGATAAACTGAGGAATGAACTATTAGGCAAAAAGGAACCGACACACCCAGGAAAGAAGGCCATGTGACGAAGGCTAAGGAGCATCAAAGATTGCCCATCACCACCAGAAGTAGGAAGAGGCAAGGAAGGATCCTTCCCTAAAGCTTCAGAAGGAGCACAGTCCTGCTGACATATTGATCTCAAACTTCCACCTCCAGAACTACGAAAGAAGAAATTCCTGTTGTTTTATGCCACCTAGTTTGTGGTAATTTGTTACAGCAGCCCCAGAGACTAAGACATGTCCTAGCTTGCTTTATTTTTCACTATAGCAATCATCAACCCCTGAATATTAAATATTTAATCTCCAAACGCCCATGCCCAACAATGTGAAGCCAAAGACGTTGTCTATTTTGGTCACTTTGCGTGTCCTACACTGGACACACACCAAGTGTACTTCATAAATATTTGTTGAATGAATGAAAGAACTGTCTACAGAATATTTTAAAACACTCTCAGGCAACAACAGACTAATGTTGTAAAGCTAAAGATCTAGATCTTCCAGTTATGCTGTGGAAATGTTAACTATAAAAGAGCTTTATCTTGATAATCAAGTAATTTGACTACAGAAGAAATCTCTTCCATTTATTTAATTTAGAGCCATTCATATATTGGTCACAAACAAAGAACCTTTCATCCAAGCCAGTGCTTCTCAAACTTGAGTGTGCATCAAAATCACCAGGTGGATGAAGTTGACATTGCTGATCTGGGGACCATACTTTGAGAATCACTGGTCTAATTCATAAACCAAGGAGCAAAAATGACTAAGAACTGATAATACAAATGGTCAGACTGTGCATAGAGCGTTATGCATTGTTTCACACATACATCAGAATTATCCTCAAACTCTGAACTTCTATTTTTTTAAAAATTATCCAAAAACAGAACAAAATTGTAAAGTGTTTTCCTTCACATGAAAAGATGGGACTTCAGACTAGCATCAAATAGGGAGTAAATTTGAGTTTTCTTAGGTTGCTTTTTTTAGGGGGAGCGGGGAAAGGTGGAAGGGGATACTGGAGATCCTGAGATGTGTTGACTTATCCTCAGACTATCATATAACGCCAACATGACCAAGACTGACTGGTACAAAGCCAGCTGACCATACACAGGTATCAACTCCATAAACGTGACACTGCACTCCAAAACCTATGATACATTTATATTACTACAGAAAAGCAACAGAAATTGGTCTTATATTATGATGATAATTTTATAATAGAAGGATATTTAATTCTATATTTTATTAATTAATTTTGATTAAGTATTAATCAAATACTTTTAATTCTATATTCGGCAAAAACATCATAGTAAAATAAGACCGTTGATTCTTTAAAGCAAAATAATCCACGTAGACACCTTCCACAAATGCCTAGTCATGGAGGTGATAATATATATTCTTAACTTATAATGCCTTATTGCTTCATTTTGAATTTGTTAATTCCAATCATACAACAAAATAAGTGAAACTGAAATTTCACATCAGCAGTTAAAATCAGACAATGAATTACAACACAAAACACACAAATGATAAACACACTGAAGAGTTCCCAGTAGAATTACTCTGAGTACATTTCTATCCTTATTTTTCTGAGACTTCTTTAATATAAAAAAAGGAAAGTTGGAATCATATGTTAGCAATGATAGTAATTTAACAGAATTCAAATCCAAAATAAGACAAAGTTTATCTGAAGTTCCTGACAAACCTATGTTTATCTTGAAGTCAGCAGGTGAAAACAGTAACTAAATACATCCTGTGAAATTCTACCATGCCCAAGGAGACTAAACAGAGCAAGAGAAATGGACTTCCTGGAAGGATCACGGTGAGGGACAACTTGACTGAATCACTGCTTGCTAGATGTTGAAATGACAACTTAGAGAAACTCAGGCTGGAAGTGAAAAGTATGGTCTGGAAGTGAATGTTTAAGGGGAATCTAACCAAGACTGAGTGAATTTACACCGTTAGACTGCTTGAAGTACCAAATGATTGACTTAACATTTACCACTGCCACTTCCCACCATTTATAGGGCTCTCAGCTCTACCGTGCACTCTTTATAGACAGTAACTCATTTTACGTTTAAACCTCTGACAATAGGCAAGATTGCAATACTCTCGGTAAGAATCTTAACCAAGTTTGCCCACTTACCTAATAGGGGCCTAGGTCTAGAACCCTTACTTGCTAACCCCAACCCCATGCATTTTCTCCTTGGACTACATGGTTAAAATAAAGCCATTATCTGAACATAACAATTTAAGTTTGTTATAGAATATGGTCTTTAAAGCAAGGTAAATAAAAAGCAAAAAATCAGAATCTAAGGTACATTAGGTTTAAAAACAAAAAACCTTAAAGCCTCATTCTAACAGTGAGCTTCCTTATAACTAAAATCACTTCATAATTTTTAGATAAATATGACCATAGTTCTCAGATAAGACATATCAGATTATTTAAAATAAGAATATTTTAATATTCCTGAGTTTGGCCATTTAATATCCTAGAAGTAGTAAGCAGACTAAAAGAAGGCAAATGATTTCAATGAGAGACAATCCCAGAAGCAAAAAAATGCCCACTGACAGCTTAAAAAACAGTGAAAACAGAAAAAAATTAAAAGCAGATGCAAAACCGTACCACGTATTAAAACACAAAGTTGCATGGTCAGATAAACTAATTATGAGCTGTGTCTCTGTTTAAGAAAGCAGGGCAATGTTTGTTCTTTTGGAGGGAAGCTGCCATGGAAAATTAACATTAAATTTTAGTTTTCTGGAAAATTCAATTACATGAACCAATGAATGTAGGATAACAGTGACAAATGATAGTACAAATGTATTATATTTAAAATACTCAGGGAACCAGAGGTATAAATGTACATATTTAACTGTGCTTCACACAGTCTGTAACAGTGAGCTTCTTTCTGAGGTGAGCTGATGAATATTTGTTTATCTCTGACTAGGAACCTTTTGTTAAGATGCTTTCAGAAATTCTGCTTTATTATCATTACTGTTTCAGGGCATTAGAGTTAACTGAAGCAAGGCTAGCAGTTTTTCTCATACTTTGAAAATCGTTATTTATTGGAAGAAGAAAAGCATAGTTCTGTAAATTTGAACATAATGTTTAACTGAACTTCCCCAAGCCAGGTTGGTTATAAAATGAGCGGACTGAACAAGATGAACTCCAGTATCCCTCTCATTTCTAAAGGCTACAATCCTTAGCTTCAGTAAGTTAATACTCAGTACACTCTAAATTAAAGGAACATTTTTCATCACCAAATAGTGCAAGCATCAGTTTGCATGAATAAAAATTTTCATGAAAAATATTTAAAAAGTACCCTTCTTTTTAAATATTTCCAAAAATAAGCATATACTCTATCAGTAAAATTGTCTTTTTTTACCTAAAAATAGATGGCAACACTTCCCCAAAATACACAATATTAGAGAAGTATTTTCTATTTAGAAATGAAAGCCAAAAACTATTTTTATTTAAATCCCTGCAAAAAGATATAGGCAAAGAGAATTCGTGCGGCTATTTTTCATAAATAAAAATATAAATATTCCTCCTAAGAAGTTTCTTGCCCTCTTTCACCCAAAATTCTTTTGTCCAATCATCTGAGCAAAGTTTTTTATAATTTCCAACTCTAAATGTTTTTAAACTTTTATTATTATACCTTTTTTCCTAAACAATGTGTTTTATATCTAAATTTATAAATTATATGCTTTGAAGCTACTCACTTAAAATGAAGATCTTTGAAAGTAAAATGTGTTTCAACAATTCCTGTAGTTTTCACTCTAGTTCTGAGAACATCTTGTTGGGTTGGGATATAGTTTGGTTGTGCTATTCTGTCCAAGTCATTCAAATAGCTGAAAAAATAAACAACAAAACAATATGCTAATAGTTAATGCAGCCAATAAAGATCATCTAAACAAAGAGTAAAACGTGTCGATGCATGCAATATTCCAAATTACTGGATGTTTTTACATTTCTGTGTAATGATGTAATATAACTAGTTTAAGTTTATATCTCACACAACTCCCACTGAAGCGAAAATGTTCATACTTCTCCAGCCACACAGCTCTTTTAACATTTTTTAACTGTTGTGTACTTTGTTTCTTAAGGACAGTAATTAGTAATTCTCCTTGTTGGGAAAGAAAACAGAATAATAACTTCTTAAAAAAACACCCAAACTAACTGCACACCATGAGTTTGTTTCTTAAAATTCTCTATTATACTTTTTTGATGTAGCACTGTGTTTATGTTCCAGACAGTACTCTTCTGTTGAGGATTTAGAATCTTCGTTTTTGAGAAAGTGGGCAGGAAACCCCTGGCCAAAGGTTAAACTGGATACTGTTCCTTTACAACCAGCCTCAAGCTACATACAGGGAAACAAGACAAATGTTCCCTTAGTTTGCATCTTACTGGCTCCCTAAATCAATACTCATATTTTACTTCTCACTGATTTTAGTCACTTATTCAACATTCTCGGCCAATGACGCCAAACATGTTGTGATATAAAAACGTAATGGTGTCATACCATGCAATTATTTTGTGTAAATTATTTTGTGTCAAATTATACAGTCAATAATGTTATAGGAAGTCTAGGTATGGAGAGATTAATGTGAACCTGAGTGGTTAAAGAAGGATTCGTGGAGAGTGAGGGGTGTAAGCTGAAATCTAAACAATGGGACGGATAAAAGGGAATGTCTTTCACACCAGGATAAGCAGTGAAACAACATGGAGGCAGAAGAGTCACCTCTTGTTTCTCAGCAAGTAAAGCCACTAGCAGGCTACGCATAAGCTGAACTGAGAAGTCTGGAAGTAATCCTAAGGTCAGCTGAAGGTGGGGAGTGTCGCTGCAGTGTGTCCTAATGCTAGAGTGGAACGGTCAAGGATAATTGAGAAGATACATTTCGGCTTATTATAGAGAGGCACCAACTACTGCAACTTTAATTGACGTTATCCTCTGAAATCCTTAGCCATTTAGAACAGGGTTTTGCAAACACAAGGAGCTCAATAAATATTTGATTTGTGGAGATGGAGCTGGAAAGCTATCCAAACACTGAATATGTGATCAAAAATGTTTCAGACAGTTAAGTATATGTATATGGTGTTGATACTAGAATACATAGAGAGATGATAGCTGGAGTTATCTATATTGTATTTACTGAATTTAAAAGAATCTTATTATTGCACTGGTGATAATCTCCCAGCACTTTATCTGTTTTTAATTCCACATATATAATGTTATACCTTATTTTAGAAAATCTGATTTAATAAACAAACAAAACAGGCCATGGCAAAATGTTACTAATTGTCTCTTTGAAACAGTGACCTACTCTTATTTAAAATGTGCTCTGACTACTTATCTAATAGATACATTTCTTTGCTTAAAAACTGCTATGCTTCTAATAGTATCTAAAAATAATGCATATTTATATTTCAACAAAACAAAAACGAAAAATAGTCATTGTGAAAAACTCCAATTGTTTTAAAGGATCACAAATTTAAAGTGTAAATTGGTGGTTAAAGAGTCTTAATGGGCCACTTGGCAGCATGTCCCCATTTCCAGTCAAGAACTCAGAAATCATGACCACTGTGGAGAAAACGATTTCTATGACATCCTTCACTCTTAAAGAATGGCTCCATTATTGCCACCTTAAGGTCAGGAATACTACTAATAAAATAATGGGGAGCCAAAGTGACATGTTTTTCTCAATGCACGTCCAAGCACTGTGCAACGAGAGAGGGTCTTGGTCAACAGACTGAGGGATCCAGGAAGTCCCCCCATAGGGAGAAACAGACTTCAATATACTGTCCCTGAAAAGCACCCCTTAATTACTGAAATAGCCCCCCATGCTGGGCTCGGCTCAGAGCAACCTTCTCACCAGAACAGTGATTCCCATTCAGATCTTTCTGTAGGTGCTGGTGGTACCAAAACAAGTATTATGGTCTTAGAGTCGTGTTCTCGCTCTAAGTAATTTTTTCTAATTTCTCTTCTAGCCTCTGTAAAGTGTGGTTTATTAATTCATTCATTAGTAATCAAGGGCATATTGAGTGACAACCATGTGTCAGGCAATGAAGACAGAACGCTGGGCAAAAACAGACCTCACTGAATTTACAGAGTAGCAGCAAAGACAGAAAATAATCAAATAGTCTCAATATAAGTATAAATCAAATTACCTCAAAATAAATATAAATCCGTGAGTGCTATGAAAGAAAATGCATTGTATTACGAGTACATAAAACAGAGAGGCAACGGCCTACTCAGTGAATCAAGGAATATTTCCTAGTAGAAGTGATGACACCAGTTGGCAAGATGGGCTACATATTCAATAAGAAGATGTTACATGTACATATATATATATATATATATATATAAACTACATATGTAATAATATATTTGGAAACAATAATATTATCTGAAAACAATAATATAGACTAAGAAATAGTATTACAAAAATTGGTATGGGTTATAGAATAGCATGCATCATTTATTCACTCACACTAAATCATTCATGTAATACACATGGAGTACTCTGACATGTGACAAATGACATGTTATATGATAATAATGGGGTATAGGGGGCCATACCCCATATGTTTGTTTTGCATTGTGGCAAAGTATGTGTATTTACTTAGACCTTCTAATACGTGTCATCTTCTATCCAATACTCACTTGTGTCCCTAAAAGCCAACAGCTTTGTCAAGAGAATGGAACACTCTTGGAATGTAAAATGAGTGCACAGCACATGTTTCAAGACCAATTATTCCTACTCATATGTTTGCCATATTATGGAAACAAATACTCGATTTTTTAAATTCTATGTAGATCACCAAGCAGAAAGCTCCCTGATTAGGTTGTATCACAACTTGCTTTACGAACTGTCTGGGCCACCACTTGGAAAATCAGGGCAGATTTTTCTTGCAAAAAACTGTACTTAGATATCTGTAAACAATGTCTAATGCGACAAGGCACATACAACTGACAATTTTCAAGTGTAGAGCTATTTTACTCAGTGAGAAAACATCTTGGGATCACCACGCACCTCTTCAAAAAGGATGCGTGTCACTCAAGGTGCCCGTGACTGGACAAGTAGCTCCTCTCAGGCACCGTGAGTACAACGACAAGAACCCAAATCAGTGACCCTCCCCATTGGCTAGTCCCAGGCAAACCAGAGATACACTCAAATTCAGAGTGACCTTTGAAAAGTTCCAGTGACTTTCTTTGAAATATACTGGAAAGTCCCATCCTGCATGTTTCAATTAGTGTTACGTAAACATGAGTCTCAAGACACGTTTGAACACAAAGGAAGTAACAGCACTGGTATCTACAAACACACACACAAAAGGCTGAGAAAGTTTTCAAATACCGTCATCCTGAATATCCTGAGTTGTACAAGAATATATCAGCCAATTCTGCAATAAAAGTGACTCGGAGGTATATTTGACTTGCACGTAATTATTCATGATAGTTTAGTTCTGAAGTTATGATTACTTACTATGCTGCAGAATCATTAAGCTGGTACTCTCGGGATCTGCTGAAACAGGCTTGTACACCACTGTCTTTCCACAATCTCTTTATAACTCCAGCAAGCTCTGCAGTCATAAAGCCTTCTTCGGCAGCACCGGCAAGCACAAAGAGTTGGCGAGCATCATCCTGAACATTCGAGGACCGTTTTGTAAAAAAGTAAAAAGGGAGACATTACAGCTAAAAAGTACAGAGGGGGACGTTATGGGTTGCAAAAAGTGCAATAGTGAATTTCCCTTATGTTTTTTATTGGTATCGTAACTTTTATTTCTCTAAAGCACCACTTAAAAAAATTGGCTTAATCAAAAAGGCATAATCTTAAATCATGAGTCTGTGTTTTGTGGTATTAGTAAGAGCTATCACAGTGCTAGGAAGCTGGAAGAATGACTACACGTACAGGTCATGAGGGGACATATTAACCCACTATCCACGACAATACGTGGAACACTGAAGATGACCACTTTTGAGAAAACAGAAGAATGTATGCCTTGCCCCTCCCTCCCAAAAATGTTTCTAATCTAAGAAACAGATTAACACTGTTAGAGATCACTTTAAAACAGAATCTAATTAAACGTTAGCTTTCTGATACACTTTGTACATGCAAAATAAGTTCAGGGAAGGGAGAAATCAATGTGGAATAAGCAAGAACAGTTTCACAGAATAGTCTTCGACTTTCCAGAAGAACTTCAAGTGTATATACGTTAAAATCAATGGAGGTGGGGCCAGTGTTTGCTGACCCAGGCACAGGAAACAAAACAGGCACAGCTCTGGAGCAGAAATACTCAGGATGCATAGAGAAGACAGCGCGCCGAAGTTTTTAAGTGAAGGAATACTGTATACAAAGTTAATTAAATTTTCCGTAGGTTTTGAGGCTACAAATATGTAGTTATTCTGATCCGCAGGTAATCCACCACATTAGGTCAGTGCTGTCCAAAAGAAATACAACGTGAGCCACTGATGTAATTCTGAATTTTCTAATAACCACATTTTAAAAAGTAAAAAAAAAAAAAAAGGTGAAACATTTTAATGATTTTATTTAACCTATATATAAAATATTATCATTTCAACATGTAATATAAAATTAATAAGATGATTCACATTCTTGTTTATATGTATTTGGTCTTCGGGATCTGGTGTTTTTTATACGGACAGCACATCTCAACTCAGACTAGACACATTTCAAATACACTCGTGTGTAGCAGCTACAGTCCTGGATAACACGACTCGAGTCTTTAGGTAATAACAGCTAATTCTCTTTAGCCTGAGACTTAACAGTTTTATGTTAACTGAGTAGACAATCCCTAATTGTTCTCAAAAATATTGTGGCTGTTTATAAAGTGATGGTGCACACGACAATAAGGTGTACAGAAGAGAAGCATTTGGTGGCACAGGCTACAGAGGGTACCCGCTGACAATGTAGATTCATTCTGCTGCCAATTTGAGAAACATTTTCTTTTCAGATGGAACCCATTGTGAAAAATAATTAAGTCTCTCAGCTGGGGAACATACTATTCAAGCATATGTTCCCCTTTTTAGTAAATCACAAGAGAAAGACATGCAAGCAACCAACACGTGTACAATATCCTTAATAAACCCCAACACAACATGGTTCCAAGTCATTCTTAGCACATTTACCTAATTCCAGTAAACAATTATTCAGTTTTCCAAATAATTACCTATATATCAGAAATTTCTAAATTTGGTCATATTTATTAATTAATTGACATGAAACAATTGTCTCCATTCACTTTAGAAAAGTACTTTTCACTTAAGTGGGCTACTAAATGAGCTTTCATTGTACCTTTTTTCAATTTTAATAAAATATCTTGACAGAAAAGACTAATGCCCTCCAGTATGCATCATAAGATCACATTCTCTTTGGGGCTGGCCCGGTGGCGCAGTGGTTAAGTTCTCGTGCTTCGCTTCAGCGACCCAGGGTTCACAGGTTTGGATCCCAGGAGAGCACCAATGCACCTCTTGTCGGGCCATGCTGTGGCACATCCCATATAAAGTAGAGAAAGATGCGCACAGATGTTAGCCCAGGGCCAATCTTCCTCAGCAAAAAAGAGGAGGACTGGCATCAGATGTTCGTTCAAGGCTGGTCTTCCTCACAGAAAAAAAAAAAAAGATCACATTGTCTTCAAACCTTCTAGGAAGAAGCCTGAAGAAAAGACATGAGAAACTTTGGAAGCTGTATTTATGAACTGTACTCTCTGTGGCATTCAAAAATATCTCTTCTTTACGAAGTGTAAAATAGTTTCTTTTCCCTGAAAAACTAATTGGAACGCTCATTTCCATGTCATTAGCAGGACATTCAGATGTCTGTAGATGAGCTTTAAGGTAATGAATTTAAGCAGGAAGGTACTTTAGAAGTTAGTCTAATTTTCTGTTTGGTATTTAAAAAATCTGAGGCACAGAGAGGTTAAGCAACTTATTTAAAGTTCCACAGCTAATGAGTCACCCAATCATACATATTAGTCAGTCAACAACTAGTAAGTAGCCATTGCCTAAAACAGGATATATTTAAAAACTGCAGAATGATGACAACGATCTTTTCTTGCCGTGGAATGACGTCTTTTCAAGATTCGTGGAAAATTATGTTACTTAAGAACACTTAGAAAGATACACTTAGAAAGATAAACGTGAGGGTACCAAAAACAAAGTGACATGGGGTAGAACGAGAACAGGGATTACAGAAAGAAACACTGGAGCCTAGTCAGAGGGCGACAGGCTGTAAAGCAGTTCACGGGAACTCTGGTGGTGTTAAAAAGAAAGGAACGTTATTTGCCAGGCAATTATCTGTGAGCAGCAAGGAAAAATCCTTGGATGTAGCCAAGTTAATATGTTTTCAAGATTACTAAGAACTAGATGAAAATAAGATGGTTTGGAGGATGTAAGCAACAAACTGCGTACTCTGGAAACTCAGAAAGGAGATCTGAAATGGTAGGGTTGTCGAGAGACACATAACAGGGCCTTTTTCTACTGACGGTCAGGGAACACCTGTATTTACTTAGCGACAGCACACCGAATTTGAGGCTGTCACCCACTTCGTGAGAATTCAGAAGAGTCCTCCCAGGATGGGAAGAGGAGACTTTGAGGGACCATGACAGCTGTCTTCTGGCATATTAAAGATCATTAAAGGTAAGAAAGAGTAGACTTTGTGTTTAGAAACAGAGCAGAAAAAGAAGAATTCTTAGGGAGAAGATATCATATTTCAATTCAATATGAAGAACACTTTTAACAATCAAAGCCATCCAAAAAAAGGGGAGTGGGAGCAAGAGACTGAAGTTTTTAAGCAAGGGCTAGATGATTACTTACTGTGATAGCAGACAGAATTTATGAATGAGATTAAGAGTTTAAACAGAAAACATCAGAAAGCTCTTCTACAATAGAGGCTAAATAATATGATAAAAGAGTGTTAAAAAATAGTGACACCTCTGAATTTTTGGCCAGAAGGATAATATATTGATGTCATGATTGTTATATGTATGGAAATCTTTTGTTTCAATGGTTTTGCTCAACTATTGCACTAACATTAGCCAAGAACACTGAACACCACATATGAGAACTGCTCATTTAATCCACCACATTTCTGTAGCATATAATCACTCCTATAAATTTAAGACAGCTATACTGCTTATATCAAAGTCAGCATACCCTTGAGGAAATCCTGAGAAATTTAGCGAAGTCACCACTCCACAGCTCATGGTGCCAATCCCAGACATTAAAGAAATGCTTTGATTAAGAAATACATAAATGTACAACTTTTTTTTCGCTAAAAACACAAATGTAACCCAAGTAAAAATGACTGAGGCAAGGAAATAAGAAATCAGTTGTTTTTCCCATAACACTGCTTAAAAGGCAGAAAAAGCCTAAAAATAAAACATTCTATGTTAATTTTAACTAAATTGCAGACAGCAAAAATTTTGACTAAACTGCAGTGAGCATGAGTTCATTATGTCAAGATAAAAAATTACAATAAATGCATTACAAATATAAATTTTATGCATACATTTATGAATCTTATATATAATTTTATTTTCAAGTTAACAAAATAAAAAATAGTTAAGTGTTCTTTGTATGGACAATAGAACTTGTTGTCCAAAGAGATATCCAAATATGTGATAATCGATACATGAATGGAGGGAAATAGAAAATACTGTGCTGGAGGCACATCTTACATTTCAAATGAAGGTTAGTATCACCTTGCTATATATATATAAATCTGTATTTCTCAGAATCAAAACAATATAATCCTGTAACATCATCTTAGTTTGCAAACATAAGCCAGAATACAAAACCCATTTGAACATTCATCTCGAAAAAGAACAAGTAGAAATAACTAGGTACATTTTGAAAAAGAGTACTGGGGAAGGAGGGCTAAAATTATTAGATATTAAAAGCCTACAATATGTAGACTGTTTAGTATTATTGCAGCTCAATAGGAAAAAAACCCACAAACCTGAACCTATTATATGATGAAGGTAAATTAGTAGGAAAGCATATGAATATTCAACAAACACTAATAGATAATTAGCCACCTGAAGAGGAAAAAAATAATGTAGATCCTTACTCCTCATATATAACAAAATAAGTTTCAGAGGGACTAAAGAATAAACATAGGAAACTGTTAAAATTCACTCCCCTAAAAAACTTAAAATAGCATGAATATTTGGTAAATCTTTGCTTGAGAGATTTTCTAAATTTAAACATAATGGAAGAAATAATAGGGGAAAATTTAAAAATCAAAAACCATAAGATTAAAGGCAATACGCAAAATGTGAGGGAACATTTACATTAGTGGACAAAGCGTTAATACATATGTACGTATGAACAAGCCAACAGATAATCAAACACCAAGACCCCAACAGGTGAGGGAATAAGGGATAAAACAGGCCACTGACATAAAGAAATAAAAACATAGTCAACAAAGATAGGGAAAACTGTACAATTACACTAAAAATTGAAAATATAAATTAAAGTGAAATAAGATTTACTAATAAATTAGCCAATATTTTTATTTTTAATTGCAATTTTATTTATTATTTTTTTTAATTTTTTGTTTATTGCAGTAACATTGGTTTATAACATTGTAAAAATTTCAGGTGTACA